AAATTTATAATTTATGGAAGAAAGTACGAAAAATGTCATAGAAGGGGTATTTCAGTCATTTATCATTGTCTCACTACGATTCTGCTGTTTACCTAAAATTATGGGTAAATGCTGATCATTGTGCCAACCAAACGTGTGGTCAAAACCTGATTCAATTTGTTCCAATTCATTTGACACATTCCATTCACTCCAAAACATTCTACGAACCAAACATCCCCTTAATATATATTACTAAGGGTAGTAGTTTTGCCATTTTATATTTCCACTTCTATTTTAAGATATGTTTTTTTCGTTAATTCACTTTGTAATCATGCTTTGCGAGCTAATGAAACCCTAGCCGCCTCTTTGCATTTTTCCCCTACATCTTTTGTTGTTCATATTTGATAAATCTGGTAGGATAGTTATCAATCATCTTTGCGAGAAAGTACCTTATAAACTGGTCCAAAGCCTCCTTCGCCGATCTTATTTGCAGAATCAAAGTTATGAGTGGCGGATTTGATTTGTCGCAGGCTAAAATAACCCGTCTGTAAATGAAGTGCTCGGAGCTCTGTGACAAAGATAATGATTAAAAGCAGCTAGAATTCAAAAATACAATTGGAAATATTACAAGAGCCAACTAATCATACTGAATCTCTTTATTTTTTGTTCTTACCTTTATCTTCTCCCTCTCCTCCTAGATAACCTTTCCTCCAAAGTACAGCTAAAATTAGCAAGAAAACTGTGCAGGAACTAATCACAATTCCGGCTATAGCCCCAGCAGTGAGTCCTCCTGTACTGACGTCATATTCTGCAATAAGAAGAATAAGAGCATCTCCAACAAATTCTCTAAAACAGAAAAACGGAATGTAAGGAAAGAGAGATGATTTATCTCCCACCAATGAGATTGAATTAATATTGTTTTATATAAAAGTGTAATGGGATTACTACAAAATTATAGAGTATTTTAATAATATAATCAAAATGTTGAGATCTCCAAAATAGAGAATCTTGGTTCTCTATTTTAGAGATATCATAAAGAATGCGTTGGAGATGGTCTAAGTAGGTTTTATACATGCTCTTAAAGCGAGAGGAAGAACGAAAATGGAACATATGATAGGAAGATTGTACTAACTTGGTGTTATTGCGATAGCAGATATAAGAGGTCCATGTACACCTCTTTCTGGAACTGCAGTAGTCCCCTTCCCTGCCCAGTACAAATGAATCTCTAGCGTGCTACCATTAACGACAACATTATCAAACTCTATGAAGGTGCCCCTTCGAACACCATTAGCTGCTTCCATGATGTTGAAGTCTTTTCTCCTCAGAACCCCCTACACAAAAAGCCAAATTATAAGTTTGTAACTAATGTCCCAATTGAAATATATACAACCTAAACAAAAGCTGGTATGTCACTTACTTGAATTAGTATATCAAAATAACGCCTTCCCAGACTACTAAATGTCATGTCGTCAGAATAACTTATTTCAGCAAAGTGGAGCCTCACTTTGTAACTCCCCTTCCGCAAACACAGTCCATAGTACCGGAGTGAAGAGGGAGAAAAACGAGCTGTTCTATATATATCTCCACCTSTCACATTCGTTGTGCTTGCAGTAAATGGAGCATCTTCGTTGCCCAGGAAAACACCATTGGTGCTATAGGCCCATCTCTCAGAAGTAGAATAYAAGAAAGATTGCTCGCTGGTCAAATCTTCTTCATATTCATTTCCTTCAAAGTCTGATCTAGCTCCACCACAGTTAATAAATAAAGAATGACCTGCAATGTAAGATRCATTTATGAAAATTTASAAATGGATATAACAATTAACCTAAAGGGAGTGCTTATTTTGTTACACTTACGGTCGGGSTTTCTRCTGCAMGTAAGTTGGTCTGTTAAACACCAAGCATCTCTATAAGATTAATCCATGTTAGGTCACATCATTCTAGACAATTAAAAAGTGTGTGTGTATAGGTTGGTGATGGGACGTACGTGGTGCTTGAAGCTGAAGATGAAAGGGCTGAAAGTAAATTCCTGTTGTAAAGTACYCGTGATAAGTGAACATAAAAAGTGAAATAAAGGGTAGGAYTGAAAAGAAAAACTTACAAGCTCATAAACCGACAATTCAGTGATGGAGATTGTGTAAAATCGTTGTAAGATAAGTCGCTGCGATAAAAATTAGTGGCAACGTT